TTTGCACTCAAGCCTTGTGGACGTTCGGATTCTCTTAGTTTGTGTTTGGAGACTCTTTGTGTTTGAAATACTTCTTGGCAACTTTATCTGGTGTTCTTGGCAGGCTTGGCAAGGCTCGTTCTTATCAGAGACCATGAGTTTGAAACAGCCTTTGAACCGTGAATGAACGGAATTCGTAAAGAATCATGAAAAGGTTGTGCTGTTACCTTTGTCTCGTGTTTGCTTCCTTGGAACCAGGTTTGGGTCAGAACATTACCTGTGTCCTCAGGGTCACTGAGTGGTGTGAATGGTTAGTGCAGTCTGCAATTTTCCTCTGGAAATCCATTCCTACTCCCACACAATTCCAAGAGTGTTCATCCCAAATTGGATAGCTAAAAGTCTTCAAAAGAAAAAAACAGAAAGTCCAGTTGTCTCCTGGAAAAAAAACAAAAAACCTTTGGGACAACCACAACCTGGAGAATCTGGAGAATCTCTACAGATTTTAGTTATGCAATTTGGGATGAACCCCCTTCGACTGGTGTGGGAGCAGGAATGGATGCAGACTCCAGGAACCATTTGCACCCGCTCAGGTGACTCTGAGGACACAGACAAACCTCCAAGTGGCCTCAAGGACCCCCTAAAAGGAGGCAAATGACCAGCTGTGTTTCTGCAAGGCCTATCAATCCTTCCCTTCCCCACCATCCGGTCAGAGCTGAAGAAGCTTCTGGGATAAGAAGCAAAACGTCTTCAGAAGAAAAAAAAACAGAAAGTCCAGTTGCCTCCTGAAAAAAACCACATTTGGGACAACCACGACCTGAAGGATGGAGAATCTCCAGAGACACTTAGCAATGTTTGTCTATTTTAAAATGTCTATTTTAAAATAAGGCATGCCGGGCTACACAGGGAAGCTAAAGGGTTGATAGCAGGGGGTGTGAAAACTCAAATCAGTTCTGTAGAAATTAGTTGGCTCAAAGATTTTCAAAGGGAAGTATAAACCAGGTGCAGCTTTGGGTCTCCTCGTGTCAGCGGAATTGCACAATTCAAGAGGAAGATTAGCTTGGTCTCCTTTGTTTTGTAATACTTGGAGGCAGCGGGTAGGAAAAAAACCTGTGTGTGGGAATTCACTGCCCTTTTGATTGCTCATATGACCTCTTCATTTTTCATCGCCGTTACAGACTTAGCCAAAGGATCTTTCCAAATAATTACAGTTTAATAAAAAATAAAATAATCCAAGAACACAGAAGCCAGCAAGAGAAATGGAACATGCCCCGAGAACAATATTCCAATATTTAATAGTCTGAATATTTGAGGGGCTGCCCCAGAGAGGAGGGAGGGGGTCAAGCTATTCTCCAAGGCACCCGAAGGCCAAGCAAGGAATAATGGATGGAAACTGATCCAGGAGAGATTCAATCTAGAAATAAGGAGAAACTTTCTGACAGGGAGAACAATCAACCCATGGAACAGCAGTTGCCTTCGGAAGTTGTGGGAGCTTCATCCCTGGAAGCTTTCAAGAAGAGACTGGACTGCCCTCGGTCAGAAATGGTGTAGGGTCTCCTGCTTTGGGGTGGGGGGGGTTGGACTAGATGTCCTATAAGATCCCTTCCAACTGTTATTCTGCTATCCTTCCTTCCTTCCTTCCTTCCTTCCTTCCTTCCTTCTTTCCTTCCTTTTCCATCATTGGAGGTTTTTAAGAAAAGACTGGCCAGCCCTTTGTCTGAAATAGTATAGGGTCTCCTGCCTGAGCAGGGGGTTGGGCTAGATGACCTCAGAGGTCCCTTCCAACTCTGTTATTTATTTATTTATTTAAATTTATACTGCCGCCTGTTCCCCCATGGCGACTCAAGGCAGCTTACACAATGTAAAACCATATTTAAAACAAAAAAATAAAAATAAAAAAACAATAAAAACTAACAAAAAAAATCAAATAAATTAGTAAAGTACAATAGAACAAAATTTGGAAATAAAAAATAAAAAAAAATTCTACAATTGTATGAATTGATGTCCACTGGGGAACCAGTATTCCTGTACCATTTCTTGTACAGCCTTTGGAACCAACGGCCTCTGCAGAGAAAACACTAGCAGATAAAATCAGAAATCCAGGAAGGTGTGAACTTCCTTTCCCATCGGATGACCTTCCAGGGGACTGGTGACGAAAATCCAACCCGTCTCAAATGTTGGTTTTTTTTTCCTACAGAAAGGAATGAATTATTCACGGTCAGTTGCACCTGACCCGTAACTCAACACTGAGCCGGATAGAGAGGAAAGGTGATCGAGAAGGGGATCAGGGGAGCTAACTGTTCTAACCTCAACACCCTCTTAGATCCAGTTTCAAACTGGCGTAAAGATGGCAACAGGGAAAAGCCAGCAGAGTTTCCCACAACTAAGTAGGCTCTGGGGCTAAATTCCCCCCCACGATTCTTCTAGTAAGACCTGAGGATACGCCGAATTTCAATTTAATATTTAATATATGGGTGTCTTGAGCGCAGGAGTGCCCAATGCTGGCAGCTTTAAAAGTTTATTTATTTTTATTTTTATTTATTTGATTTGCCAATTGTTTACAAGATAATAAGTATAAGTGTACACATAGTTGTGAATACATGAAATGGGTACATATAAGAAAAATAAAAGAAGAATAAGAGAAACAATAGGACAGGGACGGTAGGCACGTTGGTGCGCTTATGCACACCCCCTACAGACCTCTTAGGAAAGGGGTGAGGTCAATAGTAGACAGTCTAAGGTTAAAGTTTTTGGGGTTTGGGGAAGAAACTACAGAGTCGGGTAGAGTATTCCAGACATTGACCCCTCTGTTGCTGAAGTCGTATAAGTTGTGGACTCCAACTCCCAGAATGGCCACAGCCAGTATGAACACTAAACAAGCAGAGATGCAACCATTTGTCTGAAATGGTAGAGGGTTTCCTGCTTGAGAAAGGGGTTGGACTAGACCAGCGGTTGCCAACCAGTGGGCCGCGGCCCATGGGTGGGCCGTGAGAAAATTTTGGTGGGCCACAGAGAAATCTCCCCCCCCCCGAGCAATTAATCCAGGCTGCGCAGAAACACAAGGCTGCGCCTCCCACATGGCCCGCGGGAATCCTGCCCGCCCACTCACTCCTTACCTGGCAAACTTGCCTGCTAAGTTTCTATTTTTCCTTTTTCCGACCATCATCTGTTCTGCTGTGCCGGGAGATTTAGATTAGCTAGGAAGCAGGAAATGGTTGGATTTCTTGCTTTCTAGCTAGTCTTTAGATCTTCGGCTCTGCTTTTAAGCCCAGCCGAATCTCCCTTAGGACTGAAGGTTCTGTTATTCAGTGCAGACTCTGCCATTGGCTAGCTCAGTCCGTCACAAAATTTGCTAGCAAGCAAACTCACAAAATTAACTCACAACACACCATGTATGTAAATATTGAATTTTTTATTAAAAAAAAAAAAAAAAAGAGCAACTTTTACCCAAAATCAGGCAGGCAGATTGAGTTGCTCACAGAATCATTCAGTGATCTATCTATCTGCCATCGGCTAGCTCAGTCTCTCAAATTTGCTTGCCGTGAGTCTGCACTGAGTTTGCTTGCAAGCAAACCTTCAGTCCTAAGGGAGGTTCGGCTGTGCTTAAAAGCAGAGCCGAAGATCTAAAGACTAGCTAGAAAGCAAGAAATCCAACCATTTCCTGCTTCCTAGCTAATCTAAATCTCCTGGCACAGCAGAACAGATGATGGTTGGAAAAAGGGAAAATAGCAATTTAGCAGGCATGTTTGCCGGGTAAGGAGTGAGTGGGCGAGCCATGTGGGGGGCGCACCTTTGTGTTTCGGCGCACCTTTGTGTTTCTGGCTTAGCTCAACTGTTCTGCACTAAAGCTGCTTGGTGCTGTGAAACTGAAACTCCTCTGCTTGTGTTTTGCATTTGGAGCAGATTTCTTTTTTTCAGGTGGGGAGGGATAGTAGAACTGCTTAGCATCAGAGCATAATAATAATAATAATAATAATAATAATAATAATAATAATAATAATAATAATATAGGAAATACTCTAAATGCTCTGAGAGTCCTTTCGCCAAGAGGAACATATGGGCCAAATTTCAAGTTTGTAGGCTTTATGGTTTACGGGATTTTGTGATGATGCATGAAGGGCATTTCGCTTTAATGTATATAGATAAATACTTTATTTATTTATTTACAATGTATTCATTGTATATTTTTTTTTGCTTGCAGCAGCCAGATACAGGTAGTCCTCAACTTACGACCACAACGGAGCCCAAAATTTAGGTTGCTAAGTGAGAAGTTTCTTATGCCCCATTTAACGACTTTTCTTGTCACATTTGTTAAGTGAATCACTGCAGTTGTTCAATTAGTAATACAGTTCTGGTTTCCTCTTTTACTTTGTCCCTTTGAAACTGCGACCATCATATATGTGAGTCAGTTGTCAAGCACCCGAATGTGAACACTGGGATGCTGCACTGGCCGTTAAGTGTGGAAAAACAGCCATATTTCCTTTTTTTTTTCAGGCCGTTGTAACTTTGATTGGTAACTAAGAGAACTGTTGCAGGTCGGGGGCTACTTATTTCAGAGAATCTTGCCTTTAGCGCGAATTAACTATACCTTCCTCTATTTTTTAAATCTTCGAGAAAAAGATTTAAAAATAATAAAACTAAGTTTTCCAGATTTCCCCCATTCAGACATGACTATACCGTTCACGTGAAAAGACAGACGCGTTTGTAACTTTGGCTCCGCCCGCTGCCACCTATCGCAGCTCTCATTGGTCGTCATCATTAATTATTCCCGCCTACCCGTACGTCATTGACTCCACCCCGGCTTATCACGTACCGTTCCCCACTCCTCCCCACTTTACGGCGCTTACGTCGAACCCCGCCCCTTTCGGCCCCGCCCTATGGGCTCTTAGCCCGCCTTCCACCGCTGCATCCTCGGGCCCTCATTGGGTACCCGAGAATCTCCCTATTGGATACTTCACCCCCCGCTTTTCTGATTGGCCGGCCGCTCTCTTCCCGACCCACCAATCGGGTGTCGAGTTACCTCAGGAGGGTTGAGGCTAGGGCTGAGGCGGCGGCGACCTGTCAGAAGCCAAACGGCGTTATGGCTGGCCGAAGCCGGCGCGGCGCAGCTTGGAGGCCATGGATTCCGCTGCTTTTGTTGCTCTCATGGCAGTGCGGGGCCCGGGCGGCGGCGCATATAAAGAAAGCGGAGGCCGCTTCTGCTTCTTCTTTCTCCTCGGAGGGCCCGCATTACTTGGACGAAGCCGAGCTGGGCGAGACGCTGAGGCGGCTCGCTGAGGAAGATGCTCCGCGCGGCCTGGCGCGGCGCTTCTCCATCGGCCGCTCCAACGAAGGGCGCGAGCTATGGGTGCTCCGCCTCAGCGAAGGCCTTCCGGGGGACGAGGGCGGCGGCGGGCCTCCCCTGCCGGGCCGCCCTCAGGTGAAGCTGGTGGCCAACATGCACGGCGACGAGACGCTGGGCCGGCAGCTGCTGGTGCGCCTGGCCCGCGAGCTGGTGGCCGGCTGGGCCCGCGGGGAGCCTCGGGTCCGCCGCCTCCTCAATGCCACCGACCTCTTCCTCCTGCCCAGCCTCAACCCGGACGGCTTCGCGCGATCCCGGGAAGGGGACTGCCAGGGAGCCGGCGGCCGGGAGAACGGACGGGGCCTCGACCTCAACCGCAGCTTCCCAGATCAGTTCGGCGCCACGCAGGTGGATCTGGCCGCCGTGCCCGAAGTGCGCGCGCTGATGGAGTGGATGCGGCGCAACCGGTGAGGAGGAGGAGGAGGAGGAAGTGCACGTGGGGGGCGGGACCTGGCAGGAGAGGGGCGGGGCTTGCCGAGCCTGCGCTTTGAAGCGCTGCCTTATTCCTAGAAGTGGTGGCCACGCCCCTCCGAGGTGGGCGGGGCAACTTCTGATTTAGGGTTTTTATGTGTATGTGTATATAAGACATGTATGTATATACGTGTGTGTGTGTACGTGTGTGTGTATGTACAAGCTATATACACAAAACCAGAAGTTGCACTGCCCAACTCAGACGATGCTTATGTATAATATATATTTATTTATTGAATTTATATTGCTGCCTATTTGCACATGGCAACTCAAGGTGGCTTACAGAATATAAAACCTCATTTAAAACAAAACTAATAAAAAATTAAAATTAATTAATATACTATAAATATAAATTGTGTGCGTGTGTACACACACATATATCTTATGTGTGTGTGTGTATACACACATATGTACATACAGGCATACACACTGTTCTTGGCTTACAACAGTTCATTTAGTGACCATTCAAAGTTACAACGGCACTGAAAAATGACTTATGACCATGGGGATGCTGCAACGTAAGTGTGAAAAACAGTCATGTCACTTTTCCAGTGTCGTAACTGAACGGGCATTAAATAAAATGTAAGTCAAGGATTACATTTATATGTATAGATAGATAATATTGATGCGTAGGTATATATATTTGATATGTATTTATAAAGGAGAATATTTGTAGCTCAGGGTTGAAATGAGGGGTCCTTGGTGTCCTCTGAGCTTGTTTTCTTGCAGATGTTTCATGATCCATCTAGGTAACATCATC